TGTAAATATACTGTTCATTTTCATTTTATATTGATGTTGATGCACTTTATGCAGTGGTGCTACTACATATTACACACTCCTCTGTCCTCTCCTCTGTAGGACTGTTTTTTTACAGTTTTTTGTAATTCTCTTCCTCTTGTGTATTGTTTTACTTCCTGCCACCTGTATATTTAGTCCTTGGGTTTCTTTCATTCTCTCCACCCCCTTTTTTCTTAGTTTATGAACTTTATATTGGATTTATTTGACTGTTTTAGTCTGTAAAACTTTATGTTCCGACACCATTTTTGCAATAAATCATATGAAGTCTGCATTTGGGTTCAAATTCCTCATGTTTAATAACTCAGTTTGCACTACTGTGACTGTGTGATCGATGGGTGGATGTAAGGATATTATTGGTTGAAACTGGTTAATTCACAATTTTGTGGATGTTATTTTAAAGCGCTCAAAAGGCATTTTAAGTGTTTAATTAGGATAGTATTGTATTATAGTGCAATTACTCTGGCCACAAAATGAGACCTGGGCAGACTATCAACCATCTTCACTCGCTACCAACTACACTGTGTGTGTGTGTGTTTGTGTGTGTGTGTGTGTGTGTGTGAGTGTGCATGCGTGAGTATTTTAACATCGTTATTTCAATTATTTGTGTGTTGTGTGGTTGGGAATACACTGTGACAGCTCATGAATAATTCTAGCTCTGTGCAGGAAGCGTGTGTTTATCTACCCTTTAGACTGCTTATTGACACACACACAAACACACACACACACACAGCTCTACTAGAATGATAATGCCACAGATAATTAAGAGTGATACTAAATTACAAAATGGATGAGATAGTTTGAGTCTAATTAAAAGGTTCCTTGGCTCTCTTTTGCTGAAAATCAATATGAATGCACACAGAAAAAACCATCCATGTATGTTGGCTTTGTCCCTGCACACATGCACAGGGAAATAAACAAGAATAAATAATGCACTCCTGGCAGAAAGCACAGTGCTCCTGACCCCCAGCCAGAAACATTTATCAAACAGATACACAAAGGAAATATTCAGTGGATGCTACTGGAAATTAGGTATCACTGCAGTCAATCTGAATTTACAGTTGAATGCATTAAATTAGATTTAGCATTCACATAAAATAGGTTGTTGTATGGCTCAACATTTTGCACAGGAATCTGGAATTTGTGGAAGTGTTGAAGTTTTGGAGGAAATTGCAAGATTACCCAGAATTCACTGGGATTGGTTGAATTGTTGCAATCGCAAACTTCTTAGAGGGACTGATTTAGGTCATGTGACCTGACGTCAGCACGTCCACCACAGATATCTGATTTAACGACCGTTGGAGAAAAGTTTAATTTGGCGTTAATCTCTAATCTATTTTACTGTGTTTACTTAACTTAATTATTATCATTGTGTTTCTATGGGTGAACAAATGTACGAGGTGTTGGATAATTTATCGGTACGATGCTGCAGGTTGTTAAATTATTGATACTCTGTTCTTCACAAACGATCTGTATCATATGGAAACTAACCTTTTTTAACAGTGAAAGTGACTGCACATTCTGGATGAATAAATATTGTATTAACACACATTATATTGTTATGTAAGTCATATAATAAAACACAAATACCAACACATCGTGACCAGTCAACATGTGTTTGTTTGAGTGAGTTAATGTCGACTTTGTTCCAACTTGATTTTTTGAAAAGGCGACAGCTCTAATGCAGTCCTCACAGGCTGCAGTGTTAAAGCACTCTGTTGAGTCATTAATCAGATGTGTCGTTACATTATAGTCTGACTCATGTATAAAATATCCCAATGTGGTGCATTAGACACCTTTACATGAATTCATATATTAATACATTAATTACTACATGAATACATTAATTCTATCACACAGAAAGTTAGTGACTTGCAGCTGAAACCTTTAACACTGACTGCTGCACACAGCCACAGACAGCTTCCTGCAGAGTGTCCACACACACACACACACACACACTCACACACAGTGACACAGAGGACCAGTCCCTGTGAGCAATCAAAGCAGTGTAGAGAGACAGAGATGCCACATACCTGCCAACATCCATCAACATCACAGACTCACAGTCGTCTATTCACATTCATGTCAACAGGAGGAAAGGAGGAGAGAGGATGCGAGGACAGGGGAGGAGAGAGGATGCGAGGACAGGGGAGGAGAGGAGAGGGGAGGAGACAAGGGAACTAGTGGAGGAGAGAAAACCAGGAACCAGATACCTAGATCTGATCTTTTATACATTGGATGACATCTGCAGTCTCATCAAAATATTCAAACTAAACTTTATTCAAAAACCCAAATCACAGTTTTCCTTTTTACAATCTGTCCACCCTCCAACACCTTCTGTCCTTCGAGCCTCGATTCAGGTTAAAAACTCCCACAAAAACTTCTAACAGGAAAAAATGGAAGAAATCTCAGTTTGTAAAATATGTTTAAAAGAAGTTTAAACATCAAACTAGAATATTTGCATTTCCTGAATAAAATGAGTGCGATTGCCTGCATCTGCTGCTGACGCTGCTCACTGGCCCGGCTTCTGAAAGAGTCCAAGCAAGAAGTATTAGTGATTCATGTCTGGAGATACAACCCAAAATATGTTGTGCATGTGCTTAAGGAGAAGCTGTGTACCAAGTTTTATCTTATTAAAACATGTATGTTGTCACTGTAGCGACCACTGTTGGTAGAATTGTATGAAATGTTACACACCTTTTACACTGTGGCTTTATGGACAACTTTTCCAAATTTGGCCCATTAAGTGCAGCAGGCCACGCCTTATAAAATAGGCGAAATAAGGAAGTAAAGTTAATCATTATTGTTACTATTATATAAATCAGACAGTACAGACCTGTACCCTGTATCTACAGCACTGACCTCTGCCTTGTATATACAGCAATGTGTACAGCACTAACGTCTGCCCTGTATCTAAAGCACTGACCTCTTCTCCGTCCTCTGCAACTGAGTATTATTGTCAAATGGACTCAATCAAATCTTTATTAACTGTCTCTGGAAGTTAATAGACTGCTAAAAAAAAGTTAATAACAATATTATTATTGTTACTATTATATGAATTAAATAGACAAGAACAAGTAAAAGAATAACAAGCAAAATAAAAACTGAAGATAACAGTGTTATGTCACAACTCAGTCTCTGCTGACCCTCTTAAAATGCCACCCGACAGGTCTGTGAACACCCGTTGGACCAAAATGACATTTTACCCCCCCCAGCTGGCACCCAGACAGGTAGACAGAAGTTGTATTTTCCTTAGAAATCTTTAGAGAACAGACTGTACAGACACACTGTAGTGGGAGGAGATGAAGATGGAGAACAGGAACTGCTGACACAGATTCTGGATCAGGTCCAGAGGAGGTTATTCCAGTTAACAGTGACCTACACTGATCCTACTGTCAGTTCATACAGCTGCTCTTGGACAGAGTTTTTATTGGTCCCTACTTTTCATTACTCATTCCAATTTAGTTTATATTGTTTTTAAGTTTTATTAGTTTCAGTATTATAATATTTGCTGGAATACGTATTACAGTGCCTTCACATGCTTGTTGTGTTGACTCATCTGACTAAATTGACAAAAGATATTTCCTGTTTATTTTTATTTTCCTTACACAATATTGTTTTAGTCAGTGTCATTTTTATTTTTATTTAAGTTAAACTCCCCTACAAGGAACTTGATTCTGGATCGTAGCAGTAACTAGTTACTGTACTCGTACAATTTAGTAGTGTACCATTTTCAATATTATTGGTTTGTGACCTTTTATAAAGAAGCATTTCCTGTTTGTTTCTCTGACCTAACCCTAACCTTCTGACTTTTAATACTTAACTACATTAAGAATCAACAGTGCACAGATAAGATCACTCTTTTTATTAAAACCTTTTTTTCCCCCGTATTTTCTACAGAAATAAATGTTTCAGCTCGATTTGATTTGAGGCTTAAAGGTCTCATTGACGTTTTGCAGTTTAAACAGTAACAAGCAGAAACCAGATCCAGTCCAGAAGCAGCTTTATGTCGGTGTGTCTGTGGTTCACACAGAGTTTGGACCAGTGTTTGGGTTTAGCTGCAGTGTAGCTTTCATCTTTCATAAAGCTCCTCTGAAATAAAAACAGCACTCTCTATCAGACGCTTCTGGCACTTAACCGCCTTTGACTTCATCTTTAAGTTGAACTTTCATGCGTGACCTGCTGCTACGTTTGAAAAAGACAGTGAGTCATCTCGACTGAATATGGAGTGAAATTCCTTCACCTCTGATTTTATTGTTGGACCACAGAGTCCACTCGTAAACTCCCACAGGCCAACAGCTCCTCTCTGTGGCCATCTGCAGAACTGCACCGTCTCGGCTTTATTCTCTGGATATAAGGTGAGTCTGAGAGATTTAAACCTGCTGTTGAAACCTCATTCTCTAATTCACCTTCAGGTTTTAAGTATACATACTAAGTAGTACTATAATTATTAAAAACCTGGTTACTCTGAATTACAATCCAGTAACTTTGTGGTTTCTAATCTATTTATAATTGGACATATAAATATAATTCAAATAAATATTTTGTTAAGTTTCATATATTTGTTCCAGTCCATTCCTCTGAAACCTTTGACATCATATTTGGTTCTTTCTTCAAAATATTTAATAATAAAAAATGAATTTATTATATTTGCCAGTAGATGATGGAGTTTTTACTATAGACCTTTTTCACACCAGCCATTTTGACACAATATCATGTCTGATTATTTTGGGTACTGGTGAGTGCACAGATGGTTTCTCCTGCTCTCACAGAGGACCACACCTCTGGACATTTCCTCTCCAGGCAGGTCGATCCTGAGTTAGGAGTTCCCAACTTTTCCAGTCAAATCCAGAGCTCTTCAAGG